ATCTCAGAATTGTTAACTTGCTACTGCTGCTTCCTTAACTCATGGCATAATTAAGTTTTAYTGAACCCAATAACAAGTTTACAATGTACTAAAAATATTTACCAAGTGAATTATTTGGAGAATCAGGATGGTGGTGTTCTAATTAATAACTGATGGGTTAACACAAAATTTTTGCTTTAACTCTGACTACTGGCAAACTACTGTGCTAGATGTGCTTCCTATTTTTGCTTTAGGAAATAAACTAAGCTAAAATTAGTTTTCTTGAATGATTAAGAATTTCAAATTGCCTCAGGATAATCCAAAACAGGAGCTCTCACTACAGGATAGATGTGGGGCCATAAAGAAAGAATGAGCCCAATTTAATGAGCATCAATCTTAGACAATACTGTGGATATTTTTATCAAGATCCTGAAACCACATTTTTGTCTCTTTTTTCGTCAAAGTTGAGAGAATAAAAAAAAAGTTATTTAAATCCAATTAGTCAGGCCCAACCAAAAGAGTCAGTATGTTATAATGGAATGATTCACTAACTGAACAACTAAGTTAGATCTTTAACCTGTGCCAGTTATAACAAGCCTCAGTGCTAGAGATTCAGAGATAAGAAGAGAGACTCTTCTGTAGAGGTACTTTGTCTATATATTTCAATGTCTGTATAGCTAACTAGATGGGGTTTCTGCTAGGTCATTCCCCAATTGCTAATCTAAATGGAGACCAGACTTTCATCTTCTTTGTAACTTTCCACAGCCCCGACATATGCTCGAAAGGCCATCAAGTACAATAATTGATAAATGGTAACTAACCAACTCTTTCACCCAGTTGACTTGTACTTGAACAGAATATGAAATGCAGTTGGCTAATGGCCCAGTCTATACTATTTTGTTTTATAAATGGTTTGGTTAAAGAGGAGCATGCATCTATGCAGTGTAATAAACCAGCTGCATCACCCTGAATTTCATAAAAAATATTGAGAATTTACAGAAGATCCACTATTATTAGCTATCTTCCTCCTTTCATTTACGCAGAGGAAATAAGAAACATCAGAGAGTTTACTCTTGTTTTACTTTTAAGCAAAAAAGAAAATTTCTCCAGCTTCCATGGTAACCTATTCTAATATGAAACCATCCTCATCAACACACACACATACACACACACACACACACACACACACTTAAATAAATAAATAAGGAAGGAAGGAATTTCCAGCCTTCATGTTAACTTCAGGTCTTTTCTTCCATTACTAATAACTATTTTTGTTTCCCATACAACACAAGCTTTAAAAAATTATTTAACATTGATTAGTTTTAAAATTTTCTTCTTTTTTAGTTGAAATCATACATAGCAATCATAAAAAATTAAATTTTACTTTTTGATGAGAAAAGAGGGCACTACATGATATACCATGCAATTATTCAATTTTAGAACTTGAAATCAAGACAATATGTGGGTATTATTTGGAAAGAATAAAAAGATAGTCAATAACTCAAAAAATTTACAGGTCACTGAATGATACTTCTATTAGTTATCTAAAATGGATGTGTGCCAAGGAACATATTTTTAATTTGATTATCTCACAAAAGTTATTAGAAAAAAGTGAGGCACATTTTAAAACATGGAAAAATAACCCATATCAGGAGAATAGAAAAATCCATTAAAAAAAGGAAATATATTGGAGCTGGGATTGTGGCTCAGTGGTAAAGCACTTGCCTAGCATGTGTGTGGCACTGGGTTCAATCCTCAGCACCACATAAAAATAAATAAAGTAAAGGTATTGTGTCCATCTACAACTAAAAAAAAAAATTAAGGAAATATGTGCTAATAATTTAAAGTCATTCATAGAGACATCAAAGCCAACAATAAATGAATATGTAAGTACATTAAAGGATGAAGTAAGCTAAACAGATGAAACCATTTCATGGTTATGGCCTAATGGGTTAACTTAAGCATAGAGGGAATATGATGCCATGGATGAGTGAGGTAACAGAAACTGTTCCACAGTGTTTCTTAAGGGATCTACAGAGAAAATTTTGGAGCAAACTTAGATGGGAAATTGAAGTCAAAGGAATGCAGGCCTAGCTAGAGAGAATATGCTGCCCTTTCCTCTTACATGTCTCCATCTTTTTCTGTCTTATTTCCTGCATACCTGTTTTCTATTTCTGCCATTCTGCCCCCTGACATTTTCCCTTCTCTTTTTCAACATGTGTTTTGATAAAGTAAAATCCTATGTACTATAAATTTTAAAGTTAGGTAAGCTGAGTTTTTTAATCATCTACTTTTCTTTCTTTGATAGTAATCTCTCACTATCCATCACTACCCCCAGCCCTATTTTAAAACTTCAGAGGCCTTCCAATAAGTCCATCTTCTAGAGAAAGACTAATTTCAGTACGAGTATGATTACCATCTACTGTTAACTGACCATACGGGCACACAAGGAAAGTACAGAGACTTCAAGTTTGGACAGACCACAGTTTTAGTTCCCCAACACTTATTATTTGTGTGGCCTTAGGCAAGCTGCTTAACTTCATCAAGCCTCAGTTTCCCTAGCTGCGAAATAGGGTTATTATAATATTAATATCCACCTCATAGGGTTATTATAATATTAAACAAGATTAAGTCTGCCAGGCATAGTGGCACACACCTGTAAACCCAGCGACTTCAGAGGCTGAGACAGGAGGATCAAGAGTTCAAAGCCAGCCTCAGCAACTTAGCACAGAATGAAGGAATTCAGTGAGACCCTGTCTCTAAATAAATTTTACAAGATAGGGCTAGAGGTGTGGCTTAGAGGTTGAGTGCCCCTGAGTTCAATTCCCAGTACCAAAAAAAAAAAAGAAAGAAAGAAAGAAATATCATATAGCCAATAAAGATAATATTTWAAAAAAAAGATTAGGTCTGAAGTTCTAAAAATGCTACTTGTCATTTAATGCTTAAAAACTTCTCACTGTTTTCATTTTGCAATGATCTACATTTAACCAAAGCTTTTCAAATACTATAGTTCTCTTCTTAACCCCTTTATTATTCAAGTCTTTCTTTAACCACAGAGCCTGTTTGAGATTGTGATTTGTGTTTCAAATTACTAAACCACATAGATCCTACCTACATGCTATAACTTTATTTTAACCACCCACTCTTTTTCCTTACTGTACCATTGCCAAGTTGATTCACAGTTTTTAGGATGTCTTTCTCTGGGGAGCCATAGGACATCATGTGCTTCTAAACTCTTCAATATACATTTGAGATGAAAGGTAGATTATCCCTGTCTCCATCTTACAAGGTTAATAAACAGCACCTAGGAGAAGTTTAATGGGCTAGGACACAGTAAAAACAGTGAGATGGACTGAAATAAAGCCATCCATGAGATTATATTTATATTCTGGATCAGTTAGGACACATTTTTTAAAAAACATTTTTGAGTTAATTTAGATATCTCTAATAGCTATGTGTTCTGATTTTCTGGGGACTAAGTGGAGTCATAAAGCTTTCTTGAAGAGGTATTCAGAACTACTGCTGAGCCTGATCTCTTGAATATTCAGATATCAAGCGAAGAAGAGGTGGACATTCTCTTTTCTTTGTATCTATGCCTACACATATTACTAAAAAATGGGCTGAAATGCAAAGAAGTGTCTAATAACTCAGAGGACCAGGAGACTTCCCACATATGTCCTTTAATCACTATTCAACTGAACTGCATGAGATATAATTCAAAAGGGAAAGTTCTAAACAAAGCTACAACAAAGTCTTTAAAGGGATATACCTTTCTTATAGAGGGAGATTCAAAATTAAGTCTCTTAGACTAATTTTTTAATCAAGATTTCTCTTAACCTAAATTACATCCATCTATTTCAGCCTCTTCCCAACTTAACCTTTGTGCCTCATTCACAAGAGAAAGAAAAAGTTTTCTCCTCTTCAGACCATGGGCTCATAGTCTATGGCCCAAGTGAAGAAGAAAGTAGGGGCTTTTTCCATAAAGAATGAAACTAGTTCAAATTTCTATTTATTTATGTCTAGCCCTTTGAAGCCCCCTCTAACTCCAAAGAATGTAAAACTTACCCCCCACAACACTCTTCCATTCTTTATAACAATCAACTGTATCATTTACAACTAGTAATTAGCTGGTTATTTTTTAGCTAGCCCTGGAGTTTAACTAAAAAAAAAAAAATCTACAAAATCACCTAACCAGGCTGAGGATATAGCTCAGTTGGCAGAGTGCTTGTCTAGCATGCAAAAAGTCCTGGTTTCAATCCCCAGAATCACCAAAAACAAATCAAAAACAGACCAAAAAAAAAAAAAAATCACCTAACCTTCCTACCTCTCTCACAACTGAGATACTGTGATACTATAGCCAATGATGGGGAACAGAAATGAAAAGTGAGGCCAGATGCATGCTGTGCATTTTAATAGTTTTAAAATTCCTATTTTGCCAGTATTCTGATTTACTATAGGCTAAGTCTAATTTATTTTGATACTGGGTTAGCAGGATGAAATGGGAGCACAATTAAACTGCATTCCAATTTTTCATCTTTATAATGGGTAAGAAAGAGCTCTGAGTCTATAATGGGTAAGAAAATACACTGAATTCCTGCTTTTCTTCTTTGAAACTAAATCAATTTATAGAGGCTAACAATCCCCCAAAAAATACAAATTCATTTTTTAATTTTTAGCAAAAGAGAGGTAATAAAATATTGGAAAAATGTTGAAAATTGTGGGTTTTAAATCTCTTCCCCATACCAGTCCTTCACCTCTCTCTGATTTGTGATTTTTGGAACTTGGGCAAGTAACTTCATATTATGGTTTAATTTGCCATGTCTATCAACCAAAGATCATATTATCCTCCAAGCCCAATGGTAGAGCTGGAAGACTGAGCAAGGTTTGTCCCATTCAACTATATAATCTGGATATTTCCAGATCCAAAAAGATAGGCAGCAATCTTTCTAAGAAAGGGGTTAGGGTAGGACCTAAGAACTACGGAGCAAAGCACAGCAAAGGAGGCAGAAGCCAGTTCTCACCGAGAGGATCTTATCACCCTCCTGGAGCCGCCCATCCAGGGCGGCAGCCCCATTCTCTTTGATGCGGCTGACGTAGATGCCACTGTCATTGGAGACATGCTGTTGATCTGTCCCACCGACGATGTTGAAGCCCAGCCCTGAGAAAATCATGGAGGAATGAAGGAGATGGGGGTGAAGAAGAAAGAAAAGGGATTAGAGAAGTAAAGAGAGAGAAAAGGCCTGGGGGAGGAGAGGCTGGTAAGTCAGACTGTGAGGCAGCTACAATAGTCATAAGCAAGGTCAGTTAAGTTCAAGAGTTAAGGTCAAGAATACCAAATTGCCCACTCAGGTCAGGTAGGACTGAAAATACAAACACAGAGATCAAGATGACCTGCTGAATACATTCAGAAAGATCTACATACAATTAAAGAATATAGTCATTCCTGTAAGATGTTAAGTGGTTCTGCTCACATTTGATTTTGATCCTGTTGATGGCATTCCTGGCATTTCTAGTATTAATGTAACAGGATTAGCTGYGTTCATAAGAACCCAAGCTTTTAACCAATTATGAAATGAATTGTTCTTAATTGAGAAAGAGATTTCCAACCATAACTTCCCCTCCATACTTCTCTCAAGATTCTGGAGAATTTGTATATGGCAGTTTTGGAAGAAGTGATCTTGGGAATTTCATTTATTATTTTCCATTTTGTGTTATGGGAGGAGGACAGTGGATAGGTGTTGGTAGGAAACCTCAAAACCAGAAAGGTAACTGATGCTGCATGGTAGACATAGAACCAAAATCCGCCCCCCCCCCCCGGCTTTTTTTTGTTTGTTTATTTTTAATCTCAAGTACAAATAACCACATACTTGGGTATAGTCATGACCAAATTTTATTCACTTTAGATAAAACTGATTCCCTACTGACTACCAACTGCCCATCTCCCAAACCTCTAGTTCCTGGAAAACACTATTCTATTCTTCATTTCTATGAGTTTAACTATTTTGGATGGGTATAAAATTTTAGTTATGCAAAATGAATGAGTTCTAGAGATCTGGTATAGAACATTGTGCTWACAGATAGACACAAGTTTAACTTTGAAAGCTGCTCTCACACACACAAAATGCAATGTAAGGAAGTGCTAGGGATGTGTTCAAATTCCAGCACTGCCCACACTAGCTGTGAGAGACCTCAGCCCCTCCAAATCCCACTTAATAATACAATATTAAGTACCCTTTTGGTAGGATGAAAGATACAGCCTTAATTTGTATCAYAGAAGATGGGGGTGTTGGGGAGGTTCTGATAACTTGAGATGAAGTGAAAAGGTAGACAGATCCAGACACTTCAAAATATGTCAACAGGGTAGATTTAACTGTTCTTATTACAATAAAATACAGAAAGCAAGCAAGCTAACAAGCTAGCTGAGCTAACAAAGCTAGCAAGCTAACAAAGTGCCATTTCCATGGACCAACCACTAAGCTGTAGAAAGAATTTCACTCTATAGAAACCATTGTCATAAAGGGATTTTACCTATGCATTTAAGAAAAGAAGATGTAATTCAAAATAGCCAAACTATTCAATCAGCCTAGGTGTCCATCAACAGATGAATGGATAAAGAAAATGTGATATATAACAAAGGAGTTTTATTCAACCATAAAGAAAAAAGAAATTATGGCATTTGTAGGAAAATGAATCAAACTAGAAACCATCATGTTAAGTAAAATAAGTTAAACTCAGAAAGTTAACGAGTTGTATGTTTTCTCTCATATGTGGAAACTAGAGGGGGAAAAAGGAAATCAAAGATCAGAGTGGACCCCCTAAAAATCAAAAGATCAGTAGAGGAAAGCAACCAAGGGGTAGAAGGCAGGGAGGGAAGGGGAGAATGCAGGGGAATGATATTGGCAAAATTATGTTGTTATATTGTGTGCATGTACAAATATGCAACAACAAATCCCATCAATATGTACAACTATAATGCAACAATAAAAAATGTGGAGATGCCAGGCACCACCATTCGCACCTGTAATCCCGGTGGCTTGGGAGGTTGAGGCAGAAGGATCATGAGTTCAAAGCAAGCCTCAGCAATTTAGTGAGGCCCTATCTCTGAATTTTAAAAAGCGGGGATGGGGGGTAGGGGATGTGGCTCAGTGGTTAAGCACCGCTGGGTTCAATCCTCAGTACCAAAAAAAAAAAAAAAGTGGAAGGAAAAAAAATAAATAGGAAAAAGAAACTCTGAAACTCCTTTAGGGGCTTCTTTTTGTTAACTACTGGTTGGTACAATTCAGGGCCACAGTACAGAGAGAAAGGAGATAATTTGTAAACAATTAAAAAACAAAATGCATTGGTACAACTGGAAGGAATAGGCATAGACACCTTTATACTACTAGCCTCTCTTTAAGTATCTGTTTAAGAAAACAGATTAATGGATAAAGAAAATGTGAAAACACATACTTAAAAAGAGAAAATACGTGGGCTTTCTAAAAAGTTTTCCCTGTTGGTAGGATGAAAGATACACTCTTAATTTGTATCATAGAAGATGGGGGTGTTAGGGAGGTTCTGATAACTTGAGATGAAGTGAAAAGGTAGACAGATCCAGATTATGGAAGGCTCTGAAATGACTTCAAAACAATGGCAGGTTTGGGTAAGGGGATGAGGCCAATCAGCCTGTCCCAATCCTGGGACAAACTATTTATAGAAAATCTTTCAATGAAATCCAACATCCTCAGTATGGTTGGAGTCTCACCAAAATGCTGTTGTCTCTGGGGATCTTGGGAAAAGAAAGCAAGTATTAATTAAGTAGCCAAATGCATTACAACAGTTAGCAAGAGAAGGAACTCTGCCACAGGTTATTTAAAGCAATAAAACAGTATCCAAAAGAAGATAAGTAGAAGAAATCTTACTGAGACTTATTATAAACAAGCACATTCTACTACCCACCCCTTAATATCACATTATATAGGTACATTTATAACTCATTGCTAACTTCTGTCATAAATGAACCAAACCACTTAAAATGAGAACTCTTGGGCTGATGTAAAGCCCTCTTCATCCACGTTTACAGAATTGAGCTCATCTATAACTCAAAGCCTTGCTACTATAAATGGAAGTCTCCACAACATTGAGCAACAGTGTTTCAACTCAAACCTGGGGTTYAAGATATACTTCAATAGGACAGCATTTGCCTAGCATACAAATGCACAGGAGTCCCTGGGTTCAATTCCCAGTATTAAAATTAAAATAAAAATTTAAACTTGGACCCTGAGTATCCCTAGATAATCCCCAGTTTATTTGTTCAATAAAAACTAGGAGTTATTTACCACATGTCAGGTACTGTGTTAGGTTCTGAATAAGGCAAAGCTAAACTGGACAATCCCTGTTTAATCACAAACAGAAGTTTATCTTTTTGCCTGTCCCTTTTAAATACTGTAGAAGCAAATAAAAGAAACGATTCCAAGTTCAACTCCATAACTTACCAGAAATGTGAGTCAGTTTATCTCTGATCCTCAGCTTCCTTTTCTGTAAAACAAGGATTAAAAATTCTGCCCTCTCGACCTCAAAGAGTAATACTAGGACCCAATAACATAAAATATGAAAAAAAATTCTTTATAAAACACACAGTAGTTGTTATATYGGAGTAAGGTTCTAGGAGTAGTTATCAATAAACTAGTAATGGCTACTTACCAAAACTATATAGTTTTGCTGCAAGAGGAGGAATAAATACACAGTACAAATGTGAGAACTCCTGAAAAATGGTTAGACAGATTTAAAAGTCCACCCACCTATAAACAGGAAAAGACTACATTAGAACTTAAACTATTGAAATTAAGTAGTCTATAACCTGTGACCTAGAAATCCCCTTTAGGAGTATTTTCTGGCAAGGGTGATATTTTAAATTTATAACAATCATCCAGCACATTTTATCAACAAACTGGAACAGATGCCAATCTGAAACAACTGGAAGGAGAAAGCCTATCCAATTCATATCTTCTAATTATTAGCTATACTCTAGAAAAATCTTTCATGAATAGGGTGTTCACATACTCTAGTTTGTCTGGAAGTCGTGGTATACAATTAAGTGTTCCTTTTCAATTTCAAAATCATCCCAGTTTGGACACATATTATCATCCCATCTACAAATATTAATGTAAAACTATGTTTACTGCAGGACATTTTGTGGTAGTGTGGAACTGGCAGTAATCTAAATGTTCATCTTTTGGAAAACAGATTAAAATACAGTTAAAAGTTAGAAACACTAATAATCATATTAAAATAACATGGATAGGGGGCTGGAGTTGTGGCTCAGTGGTAGAGTGTTGCCTGGCATGCGTGAGACCCTGGGTTAGATCCTCAGCACCACATATAAATAAAACAGCTAAAAAATAATTTTAAAAAAACATGGGTAGAGTTTTAAAATGTCATGTTGATATTCACAGCATAATATCTCCCCGTAAGTAAATACAAAACTATTACCTGTTTACAAAGTGCATGTAAAGACATATCAGAGTAGATACTCAAAGGGAAGAACATACAAGGTGGAGGTTAGGTTTGAAGGGTAAAAATAAGACCAGAGACGGATATACTGATGACAATAGTATGTTGTGGAGCTGAAGGATATAATTAATCTACTCTCAACATCTAAGGTCCAAAAAGGATGAAGGCCAATGGGAGAAAGAAAAGACTGGGATTCAGCAAATGTTTTAAAAAACCAAGTGAATGAAAAATATTGCTTAGTGAACTCTAGTTATAATATGATAATAAATTTTAAAATATAACAAAATTAAAATGGGTTGCTCAGTCTCTAATTTTGATGAGCAGTACAAACACATTCCCAAAAAAGGAAAGGTTGCAGGTGATACAGAATGATACCATTAGAGGATTGAGAGGAAAAGAAAGTGTGTTTAGTAGAAGAACCTTGGAAAGCTAAATGAGAAACACATTCTTCTAGACTCCTCCTGACTACAGGTCTGGACCTTGAGCCCACTTATAAGTAAAGGCAACAGCAACAGCAACAGTTAATATTTGCTGAGTATTTAATATCTATGAAGTAATATAGTATACATTATACTTCCATACAGATGAATTTTAAAAATGAGTTATGAAGGCTGGTGCAATTGGCATACACCTATAATCCCAGTGGCTCAGGAGGCTGAGGCAGGAGGA